TGAGCAATCTGGAGATCCAAGAATGAATGAGAATGCTGACTGATCATGATGCAAGACTGAGAGAATTAAGTTACCAGCATGAGGAGAGCTTCTGAACATGGACCAGATCATATTGTCAAAAGTGTACTTTGGGATAAAATGGAAATGGAAGAAAAGAAGTGAAAGAAACTAAGATAAAAATAGAATGACTACAGGAAAAAAGGACAGATAATTAGTCTGCCACCAGAATAAATGGAAAGTGGTTGTAAGAAAAGAGAATGAGAAATAAACTGAAAAGAATTATATTATAGAGTGCCTCAAAAATATGTTTTGAGAGTTACACTAATAGGAAGAATGATAAAAGGATGTTTGATGGAATGATGAAATGAAAGAGACAGTGGATGAGAAAAAATGCACATAAGAGTATTACTTCTGCAAAAATGAGAATGAGAGAATGTTACATTCTGTGTACAAAGAATGTAGTCAAAAATATTTAGGAATGGTTAAGATTAAAAGAGAGATATAAAATATAGAGCTATTTTGCTGGAAATAAAAAAAAGTTTTGAAATGGGTGGAAACAAGGAGCTTCCAGAAGAGTGAATAGAATTAAAAAATAACAGGATGAAATTAATTCAGCTGAAATTGAAGTGAGAGAATTCTGGAAAAAGTATTTTAGAGATTTACCAGGAGTCAGTGTTCATCCTTGAGACTGGGTCATCAGATCCTTAGTAACCCAGTCTCCAGGTGCTGCTGCTACTAAATGCCAAGTCAATGTGTAATAAAGATATCCTTATCCATGACTTGATTATGAAAAAAGTCAGCTGACCTGACCTGTATAAATGAGACCTGGGTGGACTCAAGGGGAGGAGTCCCCTCTTGGAGATGTGCCCACTTGGGTTTTGTGTTTGGCATTAGCCAGAACTCCAGGGCAGGGGAAGAAGAGTGGTAGTTATTACCAAGGATGGTTTTCAAAGGCTCTGTGCTGCAGATACCAGATATGAGATTGTATGATTGAAGCTGGACTCCAGGGAACAGTTGAGTGTGGTGTTGTATCAGTGTCCCTGATGCACAGCAACCTCCCTGCCTGAGTTGTTTGATTCTGTTGTGGATTGGCAGTTGACTCTCTGAGGCTGATGGGCCTTGGGGATTTTAACTTGCCCTCAGCCGGTATTGAGTCAGGAGCAACTCAGGAATTCATGGCTACTATGGCAACCATGGCTCTGTCCCAAATTATTGAGGGCCCAACGGATGCTGTGGGATGAATACTAAATTGTTTTTTGTCTCTGGGCAGATGCAACATGATTTTGTCAGGAACAGATTACTATCTGATTGCTTTTCGGCTTACAGGTGCTATTTCTTTCCCTCAGGGGGGCAGAACTTGTTAGATCTGCCTAGTCTAGTTGCTTAATGGACTCAGAGGTGTTTCAGTGAGCTCTTGGGTTTTTCCTGAAGATACGGCAAGCTATTCATCTGAGCCCTTAGTTTCTGCCTGAAATGGGCAGGTGACAAGGGCCTTAGATCAGATAGTTCCTATGTAGCTTCTTGCTGTACATCAGTCTTGGTTTTCTAAGGACCTCTGAGAGATGAAACATCAGAAGAGATGCCTAGATGCCACTGGAGGAAGTCAAAGAGCAAATTCAACTGAGCAAGTGTAAGAACCTACATTAGGGATTACCTTGTGGCAATATGAATGGTGGAATAGATATTTCTCTGCTGTTATTGTGTCTGTTGATAGCTGACCAACAGCCCTTTTTCAGGTGACCCCCTCTTTTTTGGGCAGAGATGAGCCTCATGACCATCTTTTGAGCTGCTTTGAAGAATATTCTAGGCATCTAGAGGATAAAGTCACTCAGATTCACTCGAGAGTTGGTTTGACTGGGCTGGTCCAGTCAAGTTACCAAAAGCATGGACATATTTAACTTGGGAGGATTTTGATCTTGTAACTCCAAAGGAAGTGGCCAGGAATCTCGGTACTACAAGTAGTCCTCGCTTAACTATCCTAATTGGGACAGAAATTTCTATATCTAAGTGAAGCAATTGTTAGGTGAAACATCACATGACTGCATCACTTAGTGACAGTAGTTCCAGTAGTCCCAGTTGTGGTCATTAGGCCAGGACTGTGACATTGTTAGGTCAGGACCTCATGCTTCTCCTGCGCTGCTGTACCTGCCTCTGCTTTAACTCCCCCTACCCACCTATCTTGCCCTCATCTCTGCCCTTTTGGCCACCCTGTACTATGCTGGCTACCCTTGTTGCCTCCTGCTGCCCCCCGCTCTCCCCAGCTGACCTTCGCCATCTTCTTCCTCCTCCTTGGCACAGGGGCTCTGTCAGCACTGGGCTCACAGCTGCTATTGCCACCCCAGTCACTGAGCTCTTGGCAGGCCTGCCCTGCTTCAGCAGTCTCAGCCTACCTCACATTCCCATATGCATGCCTGTTCCGCCTGCCGGGGCTCCGTGCACCAGACATGGCTTGCTGCCTCCTCCCAGCTGCTGGCTGTGGTCTTGCAAAGCAGCCACTTGTTCCATGAAGGGTAGTACCTCCCAGGAGGCAAGTGAAAGAAAAGTGGGTGCAGGTTGCAGATCATGACCTGGAGCAGCCATGGTCCGGCTAGCAGCTCCCTGCTCAGCACAGCTCTGGCGTGTCTTGGAGCTCCATGGACCAGGTTCTTGCTGTGTGCCTTGCCTGCTGTGCTGTGTACCATCTTGGGGGCAGGGGTCTTTGAACGGTCAGTCTGCCTGCCAGCGCACCATACACTGGACACGGCATGCTGTCTCCTTCCTCCTGCAAAGCCTTGTGAAGGGCCAGTAGCTTCCAACGCACTGAAGCCCGCAGACTGGTTCTCCAGGAATGCTTTCAGCATGTACCCTGCAGCTCACATTGGAAGCTGCTGGCTCTTAACAAGCCTGCAGGCTTCAGTGAGGGGTAGAGGTGAGCCCAGCCCGACAAACCCTACCAGCAGGCCCTCTGTTCACTTGGCCCAGCCTTCTTCCTGCAAAGCTTCATGAAGGGCCAGCAGTTTCCAACACACTGAAGCCTGCAAACCAATTCTCCAGGAGTGTTTCCAGCATATGCTCTGCGGCTTGAGTTAGGAGCTGCTGGCCCTTCACAAGGCTTTTCAGGAGGAAGTCTGGACCAAGAGTGAGCAGAGGGCCTGTGGGCAAGTTCTGTCAGTGCTGGGCTTGCTTACAACTCTGTCTGAAGCCTGCAAGCCAATTCTCCAGAAGTCTTCCAATGTGAGCTGCAAAGTGCATGCTGTACATCCAGGAAGCCCTCATCCTTCTGCTTCCTCCCATCTGCCACCATCCTGAATAGTGCCTCCAGCACAGCCACCACCTTCACCTGGGGAGCCACTGTTGCCTCTCCTGACTTGCCCAGTGACAGAGCATATCGTGCCTCACCGTCCCATCCTGCTGCACTCTCCATGGTCTGCTGGCTATCACTCTCAGCGCTGCCAGCAGAAGATGGGGTTCACTCCTCCACCTGCATTGTTGCCCTATCTCCACTGCTGGCTCAGTCCTGCTGCCCTTCTCTGTGACAGCAGCTGGCCTTAGATGGATGAACAGGCATTGTGAATCATGACAAATATGGATGGAGAACCTTTGCTCCCTGAATGATTGCTGTTTTTACTGGTGTGATTGTTTGGTCTTGTATTGGTTTTTTAAAGGTGTCCAGAGTTGTCTAGAATGGGGTAGCCAACAAATCCAATAAATAAGTAACTGGGAAAATGTTGAAACATGGATGCGGTTTGTTAATGAAGAAGTTGTGTGATATAATGCGTTTGTGAAGACTGCATATGTGCCTGATGATTGAAAGGTTGCTGTTATTGTTATCTGTACAAAGAGAAAGGTAGCACAAGTGAGTGGTATTAGTTTAACAGTGTATGAAGCAACATATGAATGTGGTGGAAGAAATGTGGTTTTCAAGAATACAAGCTATGGACAGCTATAATGAATGGTGTTGTAAACTATTTTTAGCTGTGTTTACTTTTTTTCATAACTTGTGCCTTTCATTTCTTCGGATTATTGTTTCTTACTCCTTTTCTGCATTCTGCTTATCTCAAAAAGAAATAGTATCATGGGTATGTGCTGTACATATGTACTATTATTTAACCTCTACATGAATAAACACTCTTAATAGTTTGTCTTCATATAGATAGCTGATGGTCAAAACATTCATGGGCAACTCACAGGATTCTCCTTACATATTTGAAGTATACAAATACCCTTTACTTTTTTAGTTGAAAGGCAGTTATCCTATTTCTACTTTTGCTGAACTGAATATTTACAATATGTTAAAAATAATAATCAAGACTTATCAGGACCATGTAGAATGCACAACACTTGGAGACTTCCGGTGAGTACCATAACGAGCTGCTGGCAATGGGACCGCATTTACGAGGAAAATCGTGGTTGGATGTTGGATCCAGACTAGCGAAATCTCTTTTGAGGAAGGAGAGATCATTGAGATAACTCACTTGACTCTGGACAGCCGCTCTTCGTGAGTAGACCACTGGAACCATTGTTCTGCAGTCAGCTTATGAGTTGAGTGGCTGGGAGTCAAGGGACACCATCAAGCTCATACTTGGAACTCAGCCTTTTAAGAACATAAAGCTCGACCAAGCCTCATTTCTTAATCACTTTTTGGATTTTTTTTTTTTACTGTTATGAAAATATTAAGATCCGTCAGATCAGCAAGGTTTTATTGTATTCATCAGGTAAGTTGCCTTCTCCTTGGAGAAATATGTTTTTAAATATGATTTTAAAGCTTTGGAAAAAATATTACTTCTTGGATTAAACCACAAAAAGGTGCTTAGAATATGGATTTTGGAAAGTTAATGGCAGATTAAGGGTCCAGATGGACTTGGAATTATAGTTTTGAATTAAGTAGAAGAATTCTTCCCATTGGAAATGGCTATTGTTTGGACTCCTTTAAGAGGAAACATGATAATGGGACCTTGAAGGTTTGACACTAGAAGGGGGTAGTGGATAATAAATTTGTTTTGTTAACAAAGAAATAAAGAATGGAGCATAAAACCTTAATGGATGTTTTTGAATATTGGTCTTCAAAATTACTTGGTATGATAGACGGATTGTGTGTTAATGAAGTTACAGAAGAAATTGCAATGGATAAGTTTGAAATTAATTTGAATATGGAGTTAAATGTGTCAAGCAATGAGAAGCGTATGGAGAAAGATGTACCGGATGCACAAACGAAACTGATAAATGTTTCACTGCCTAAAGGAGATATACAATTATTAAATCAGAAAAGCCATTTGGATAACTTTTTCTTACTGGGTCTACAAAAGAGGTCTGTTAAAGTCTCAAAGAATTTTATGAAAAGTGATTGAAAAAGGACAAACTTTCCTTACTGGATGTACAAAAGAGGTCTGTTAAAGTTTTAAAAGATTCTTAGGTCAGAAAAAGGATGAGCAGAAAGCAAGCTCTGGGAATATATTTGAAGGAGTTAAACATTAAGATTGCTAAAAATTCAGGGAAAGAATATAGGGTTGGCTTATTTGATCAAGGTTAAAATAGAAAATTAGTTATACCTGGTTTCCTTTACTGGACTTTTGCTGACAAAGAACGAATGAAGAGGCTTTTGGATTTGTCTTTTTAGTTAAGAGATGAGTTATGGGTGAAGAGAGTAAATGTTGTATTAAGAGATGGTATAAGCTACTAAAACTGTTTTTACTTGCTGGAATGAAGGAGGAAGTTACCTCTTTTTCTCTTTTTTTCTTTTTCTTTTCTTTTTTACACTTTTTTCCTTTTCGTATTTTCCTTTTTCTATTTCTGTGTTTTTTGTAGTTTGTATTAGTTTTTAATCTTTCTATTTGTAATCCTTAATAAAATTTTTTGAAAAAAGAATAGAATGCAGAATACTTTATAAGCCTTTTAGTAGTGTGCTTTGGAATGTAGTGTTATAGAGTCAAGACAACTATTTTATTTATGTTTACTCTTACATTTAATTATAAGTATATATAGTTAAGATTATTGCTGTACTATCAACTTTGCAAGGGCTGCACCTAAGGCTTTTGGAGTAAACATATTGCTGTGGAATCTCCCATTGTAAATCTCAGCATGAACTATAAAAGCTTAAAATTGCATTCCATTCCTTTTATCATCTTTTGCCAGGATTTTTTTCCAAGTTGTAGGAGACTCAACAGAGGCTTGTGTTTCCACAATATTATTGCCTATTGCAAAACATTTTTTTCAGTAGAATAACAATTAAAGTATTTTATTAAAAGCATGCTTCCCTTTCACCTTCCCAATAGCTTTTTCATTTTCAGATTTATATATGTAAGTTAATGTTACTTTCTTGTAAATATAGCAGTATAACCTTTTTAACAGACTGGCAAAATATTTTTGAAGACAAAATTCTGAAAACACTGCAATACATCTGCTGTTTAGCTGTGGAAGTTTCACTGGCAAAACAGGTTTATTTTTATGATTAAACAGATTTAAAAGCAGATTATTTTGTTAACATTAAATGTATTTAACAAAACAGATTGTACTTTGAATAAAATGAAAAGGTTGCTGTTAGAGAATTCATAGAAGCAGAAGGCATTTCATATGTGGGCTTCGTTAGGTGGTTATTGGAAATGAAACCAGTTTAGAAACATTTAGAAACAGGAATAAGAAATGAAACCATCAGCTACTTGGTAGCCTTAAATTTTGATATACCTTTTAAATAGGGGCCATCTATTTATATAATCTCACCCACAACCCTACAGAGGACAATATTGCAAGACTACTAACTTGTCATTCTTTCTGGTTATGAAGACCTGTTAGTCAAGATGCAGTAACAGACTTCATTTATTTGGGCTCCAAGATCACCGCAGACGGAGACTGCAGCC